TAAAAAGTTTGTTTAGAATCACTACACCAAGTTCCAACCATAACAGCATTCATCTAACAGAAGCTGGAAACCAAAGTGCAGGCTCAGTTTTCCTAAGGCATGCCTGTAAAACTGTCTCAAGAGAAGCCAGGGTTATGCTTTAAATGAAAAAATTAAAATGCTTTCCTATTTAAATATGTTTAATATCTGAGTTTGTGTGTGTTTGCTTGTTTGGGGGTAAATGTTTTAATTTTGCCAACAATAACCAAAAGCACATGAATATCAGCAGAGCAGAGAACCAAAGGTATGTGGAAGGGGCCAGACCCCAGCAGTGCGCCAGACCCTGCCACCTCTCCACCCAGGGTGCAGCCTGCCGCCCGCCTGGGGACCCAGCACCCTCATTGCTCCCAGCTCCCAACAGCCCGCGAGGCCTGGATCACAGGGCTCCCCTGTGCCTTTCCCCGACTCATAAACCTTCTTCGAGCTTCCTCAGTTTCCCTTAAATTCTCCTCATTCCCAGTCCTCGTAGACATCCAATTGCTAGAAAACATGACACCAAATTTCCAAAGACCTCACTGGGGCAGGTCTGACTCAGGCTGCTCGCTGCCCTCTTCTCCCCACTTCTCAGCTGCCAGAATGGGTGCAAATCGGCTCCTAAAAGTGGAGGACACACAACCGGACAGAAGGGATGCTTCTCATCAGAAGCTGATACTGCGTCTTCCACGGAGTCTTATTACTGTAGGTCTACTGCTCGTGTCCAGATCAGAATAAATATATAGGGTCTAATCAACCTGCCTTCTGCTCACATACTGTGCCTGAAAGGGTGGCATCAAGTAACTTCCCTTCATTTGCTCCCTTGCTCTCTGCCCCTTCCACACACACACACACACAAAATTTGAATGCTGTCATCAGCAAGAAAAAGTTTTTTCGCTTTTGCCTTCTAGAGATGAGCATTTACAAAAAGTCACTTCTGTCATGTCAGCCCCCAAAAGAATCTGATCAGAGGCATCTCTAAATTGTTTGAAGTTATTTCACTCCTATTCTCTGCTCAAGGCCTAATCCTTTCAGAATTATTTTCCTAAAATATAAACTTCCTTCCACAGTGTTCCCTCCACCTACATATACAAATACACACATATACACATGTATGCACATGTGTGCACACACACACAAATTATTCTCTAAAGCTATGAAAAGATGAGAAGCAGAAATCTCATAATGTAATTGCTATACTAAAAAGAAGTGGCAGGTGAGAATTAATAAGAGAGGGTGGGAAAAAACTGAAACACAGTAGTAGAGATAAGGAAAAAAAAAAAAAACTAGAGCCTGTGATGGGAGTGTTAATTGAACAGAGAGAATAAAGGAAGGAGAGAGAGAACAAAAGGGCATTAAGTAAGCAAAACATAATTTTTTAACATCCTTCAGTGATTTGATTTAACTTCAGAGCAGATGATGCTCAGAGGAAAATTTGCTGAAAACTGCCATATATAGCTATTTTGTTCTAAAATTAAAAACTGTTCACAACAATTACAGCTATTCATTACTATCTATAAATAGCCTCCTTAGTAAACGGCAACCAATATTTTGTGTTTTTTCCTCATTTTTAAACCGGCATGATTTTTGACACAGAAATTTTTTTTTTAAATCAAGAAATGTTTAAAAATATAGTTAAGGTCCTTTTAAGAAATTCAGTATGTTTTGATTTTTTTTTCTCCTTCTCTCCATCCCATCAACCTCACTACCACCACCTCCACACATATGCAAAACCCAGTCTATTGCTAATTTGTCAGAAGACAAGGAATGATTCTTAAGAAACGAAAGAAAATGAGGTATTAAAAGGTGCAAAACACTCTATGAAATCTCTATGCTCCCAGAAGGAACAAGCAGATAAAAGCCGCCTCTGAAACATACTTGCTAGAGGTCTTGACAGAGTTTTCCTACTGTCTGAGATTTGCTGCCTGAGAATTGTTCAGGCATTCCTTGTTCTTGGCATTTTTATTTAAAAAAGAAAAATGGTATCAAAATAAAAACACCGACATTTCTCAACAAGAAGACTCTTGGGTTCTTTTTTTTCCCCTGAATATCCCCACAGTAATTTCTGAGTAAATACCTATCAATCAACTGTAATCTAGACGGTTCTGCCTACTTTAGGTGTTATGCGAGTCTGTTTCTTTAAAGTTCCAAAAGGTTGGTAAGACAATCTTAGCTAGTTTCCCTCCAAATTTCTGAGTTTTCCAATGAAAGTCTTTGACAAAAATCAAAAAAGCAAAAGCGGCCAAGGAATGCAATCCCCAGGCTCCTCTCAGGGTCCTGACTTCCTTGCAAAGACCTAGGTAAGCCCACGTAGTGCTCCTGCGAGAATACAAACAAGCAGAGCCCACCCTAAATCAAATCACCTCTACAATACTTGGGAAGGAAGCTCAAAAATACTCATTCAGTGTAGAGACTAGAAAGTAACAATAGGGAAACTCCCAAACAATGAAAGAATGTACATGAACTGATCATCCAAACAATCTTGTCACTAGCTCTGTATCAAGAGGCAGGGGAAAAAGAGCTCCAACAACTTTACAGACACGCTGTGTTGCGGGCATATCAACCATATGGAAGATTTGCCAGCTCTCAGAATGAGGGTGAGGTCGATCTTGAGTAAGTAAGCGTGCTTTACAAAAGAGTTCTTTTCAACACACCACAGTTGTCTCCTACCTACAACACGGAACACTCAACATTCCAGGAGAGGTTTCTTCCTTCTCCTTAATCCTTCTGATACACAAGTTGAGGAACAGGAGAAAGGTCTTTCTTTTTTCCTCTTTTTATTTTATTATTTTTTTTGTACTCTCACCCATGGGTGTCCTCTTAATGCAAAACTTCTGTGTGTATGTGTGGGGGTTTCCCTCTTAACACAGAGTCAGCTATCCTTATTATTTTCAATTCACAGTATTCACTAAACTGTTTTTAAAAATACATTATTTGAAAGACAGCATACAAAACCTTAATTTAGATTTCTAAAAAGTTCCAAACATTAGTGTAACTCAATAACAGAAAAATGTTAAAACAAAATATATAATCCAACAATAAATTATACCTTTAGAGCATGATTTTGACCGACAAAACTGCTTCTTATCACCATATTTTAGGCAATACTCATGTAAGGCGCAAACTCTTGAATCCACACTAGAACCGTATCTATATTCACATCCATCCACTTTGATCTATTGCCTTAGCAGTAGATTTTAATTAGAAGACTAGAATTAAACACTTTGACCACAATATACATTTAAATGCCCTGATAGACTTCCTTTCAATGAAAATCTGATAGTGTCTTAAAAAGAGTCTCTTTAGACTGAATTATCAAATATGCCTTTATAACTTGATTCTGTATTTTATGAAGCAAGATCAGCAGGAATGCATACCCAATTAGCAACAAATTTCAACAATCCAAATATTCCAGGTAAATTAGAATCAGAGAAAAAAGAAACTGAGAAGGAAGAAAAAAACAAAAGATAAAGAAATATATACGCACTTAGGTTTCTTGCTCCAGGCTAATAGAGAAAAAAAAACTAAAAAGTGTGACAAACTGGAAAAGCCCTTTTGATATTTGAATGCACAACCCATACATTTCTTAAAAGGTGTATCACAGCTAAAATAATGCAATTCCCAGCTTTGTAGTAAGGTTAGGCTTTGGCAAGGAAACCTGGAAGACTTAAAAGATCTGAACATCACTGCTCAGGTGCTTTGTCTGGGATGTCACGCACAACACAAATAACATTCAACAAAGGAGCTGCTTACTAATTTTCCATACATTTCAAGACCCGAGTAATTACACATTTGATCAATGGTCACATCTTGAAACTATTTATTTTTTAAAATAGAAACACAGAGAGCCCTCAAAAAGAAAGCCACCCTGTGTGCCCTCAGAACCCCTCCTTCCTTTTTTTATGTGTAACTATCAATGTATATCAACCGGGCATGCAATCATATTTATTGTCACTTTCATTCATGTCATGCCCTTGCTTATATGGTTTAGATATGAATTATTGACTGTTACACTCCTTGTTGTAAAAAATAAATAAATAAATAGGATGTCAGGTACTCTGCGCGGCTCCGCAGCGAGCGACCAAGTCAGTGGCCAGCAGAAGCTCCCGCTTTATGGAACCACCCCTCGTCCCTCATCTTTATGCCCTGGCTTCAGATTGCCTTCTCAACTCTCTCTTTTTACAAGGGAGAGACTCACCCACTTTGGAAAATTAAGGATTAAAATAAACAAACAAGAGGATGTTGCTAAGTGTCCTTCCCAGAGCATCTGTTGTTTAAGAACACCTCTGATTGATGACTGCTATTTTTTAATTGTTGCTTTAAAATTTAAATGCCCTCCTGGGACGTGTTATAAGTGTGTTAGTTCATGATATGAGGTCTAGAAAGTAGAAAAACGACAGAATGAGTGAGCTCGTCGCTTTCTCTTCTCCTAAACCCAGCGATTCTCCCAGCTATAAAATCACAGGGCACTCAAATACCGATAACCTGATGTCGTGTGACGCGTTCCACAAAGGTATCTGACAACACTGTCAAGAACTCTAGTTTGCTGCTTCATGTAATTACAAGGAAAAAAGAAGAGGAAACTTTAAACACTTTAGCACCCCCATGCCCAACTCCAAAAACACTGTCTTAAAGATGGGCCAAAATATATTCCTTTAAGAAGTGGACTTTTACTTTCATATTTTTCCCCCACAGGCAAATCATTCTGTAAATTCCCCTTCAGAACCTCTGTTTTAGCTTCAATTTCAAAAAGGCCAGGAGTAGAGTTAAGGCCAGCAAACCGCTAATGTCTGGTAATAACTGTCAAAGAAACTTGGTGCTTTCTGTTCCAGGAAGCAAGGCTACTAGTACTTCCTATTGGAATATGCGATCAATCTTGAAAGTACTTCTATTCTGAAATTTTAATATTTAAATAATGGGTTCCTGATTGCCGGTTAAGTGGTCAACTGGCCAAAGAAAATGCTTAAATGTTGGAATCTCATTCCTACCTGTTTTCTCTTTGATTTCACACAAGACATTAAACAAGGCAGGCTTCATTCTGTGGCAGTTTAAAGCATGTTTTCTGCAAGAAAGAAACAACAACAGAATAGCTTAGGTGGACTCCTGGGATCAAGCTGCTGATAATGCACAGGGGGAAAAAAAATGAGCATTTAGCCAAAATTATAGACCAAGCATAACTCTGTGGCATGCTTCAATTGCTTTATGACTTAATATAAAGAGTCCCGCCATAGAAAAAGAAATAATGTTAATTAGCAGGGAGAGAGCAGGGATTTAACTACAGAACAGAACTAACCTCAATTATGCTCATTTAGGAAGAGTTTGGGGTTTTCTGTTTTGTTTTGTTTTGTTTTTTATGAGTAGTTTAATCCAAGTGGAAGTCTTAAACCAATAATCCTATCCAGGGCAATGAAAACACGGCAGAGTCAAATGCATGGGTTAACAGTTTTGTATAATCTACGCAACCACCATAGCCTAGGAGCTCTCTGCTTTTCAGTTCGTGTGTGTGTGTGTGTGTGTGTGTGTGTTTTCAAATTTAATTCATCCATGTGTTTGAATTCATTCCGCAGATGCCCCTGTATTCTCATAAACACAAGATGCTTGAAAGGTCTTCTGAGCAGAACTGTCAATTTATAAAATTTCAGTCCCCAAGTTAAAGAGTATGGAAATGCATTGCTAGGGGGCAAACATACCCATATGGGGAATAGATTCATTTCTCTGTGTTCACATTATGTCGCTTGTGCACACACTGCTTATTTGCAGGTGTTGAAATTCAATTATTTACAATTAGGACCTTGCACCCATTGGGGAAAAAAATAAATACAATTCTCCCTTTTAGATTAGTGATTTACCTGGTTCTTATATGTGTCTCTATTCAGCACACACTTAAGGACCAAAACAATGCCTTTCCCTTGATTTTACTCTGGAAGCACTTAGCAGAAGGATATTGTTTTGGAAACAAAATACTGATCATATCAGCTATTAGTTAAGGGAATTGTGTTGACTAACTAAAATGAATGTATAAAGATAAATAGAAACCTCTGGCACTCAAGACATATGCAGTTCTTTTTAAATTCCTTTCAAAGTTAAAAAAATAGATACACATCCTGAGGAACGGAAACCAGAAGCATGCTCTATCTACTGTACAGTAGAAGAGTCAAAATCTCAAAATTCAAGAGTATCAAAATAAACATAAACATTGCATCTAAAATACAAAGGGTTCACTATATAAATAATAAAAGTACATTATGAAGATGTGACTAAGGAAAGGAAAACCCAGTTAAAGTATTTGCTGAGTTATAAGAACTAAAAAGAAAAGCTTAGTGGCGATTTAGTTCTGGTGTGGGGTGAGAAAAATGGTGAAGAAGACTTTAAGGTATCAAAGACTTCTTTCTGGGCCTTTTAAAGGAGTTTTCATTAATTGTATTCTTATATAAAAGCCCAAATGCAAAACAAATAACAACAACAAAAAATTCTATGCAGCTTTGCAGAAATATTGTTATTGCCAAGCACGTCCATGGGGTTGGATTATAGAGAACAGAAAATCTCCCTATCCCAAAACTGTGTCTGATTCTCTCAACATTTAGGTCATTAAAAGGGTGAACCCGCCAAGCCACGGCTGTCCTCAGTTGTACAAAAAGGAACGGGACTAAACATCAGAAAAGTGGTGGTTCTCAGTGCTACCGGCCCCTTCGGCTGCACAAACTTGTTATTAGAGGCGTTTATTGGTATGTCTGAGTTTATTTTTCTAGAACAATGTAATGAAGAGATCTGTTCCAATTCAAAAAGAGATTGCCAGTGGGAAATCTTCCATTGACCCTACCTATTAGTTTTTCTCCAGGTAATAAAATTCAAAAAGGGCACCAAATAATTTTTGAAAACCTTCCTCTATTAAAAAAAAAAAAAGCATAGTTCCAGTCTTTGAACCTTTCCAAGTTTTCAAGCATCCATAAACCTCAGGACTTTTGAGTTTACATGTTGCATGTGCTTACAGCTAAAATAAGAGGGTAATTCATATCATCCTTGAAATTGCTTCTTCTCATTTTCTCAATTCAAATTCCCATTTCCCTTAAACAAAAATAGATATAATAATGTCTTCTCCAGAGAACTAAGTCTTGTGAGGTAGAGAAACTGTGTACATATGACTTAAAAACCCAACTACTTCTGAGATTTAATAAAGCTGGGTAACTGGAAAGACATATGTGGCCATTAGAGTGTCTTAAATTCTTCTTTTCAAGAACGGCCTTGGGCAACCAGTTGGTGGGTTGCCATTTAGTTTATGTTTTGTTTTTTTTAAAGAGAATTTACTGTAAAATCCTAGAGTGGAGAACTATATACTTGGCAGTGGATTAACTGAGACGCTACAGAGCTTCTTTATAATGCTTCCTTAATGAAGATCTTCGTGTCCTATAGGATGGAAATATATAAAATACACATTTGCCTTCATTTCTATTTTAGTGGCATCTAAGTGGTCCTGAAAGAAGCATGGGGAAAAGAGCATGCTTGATTTTCTCCCCCCACCCCTTTTTAAAGAACCATACATTCTGTGCCACAGAAGGTTAGTAACCGACTCAAAATAAGAGACAATAAAGTTACACTACACATCCGAGTCTCTAAAACCGAACAAACATGTTTAAAAGCAACAGTATCTCTTCTTTCTTTACATCAGCCTTTTTGGAACAATTAAATGAATGCAAAATATTTTCTGGATGGCTGACAACTACTGACAAAGAATTACTCTGCTTTTATTTTTTTTTTTTAATATGGAAAGGGGGAAAGATAAAAATTAATTTTAGAGGAGTATGTCCACATAGAAAATTCAAAGCCTCTGATTTACGTAAGGAGTCAACTATATTTGCAAATAAAGTGTTCATGGGACATTTTATTTTGTAATGTTACGGAGTCCCTCAACAAGAAGACATGCAATGCTGTTCAAAACTTGACAATTCTGCTCTCTCTGATACTTTTTTAAAGCAGTAAAAAGTGCCGAGGGCCGCTTTTGGATCAGTTGGCAGTATTTTCGGCTTGCCTGAGTGTTTGTGTGGATATATATAAAGATCTCTATATTCACACACACACAATATATGAAAATATACATACAGACAGCCACATCACCGCATGGGAGATTGCACTTTCGATAACAACGCTCCTTCAAATTTTACTCCTCCGCCATATAGTTGCTCGTCAAAATGGGCCAAGGAATAACATTTAAAAAGAAAGCGCTGTGGTGATTCGGTTCCCATTGTTTCCCCCGGCGAGAGGGAGAAAAACAAAAAACCCCAAGAAAGGAAAAGAAAAGCCTCCATCTCACCTGGCCTGCGCCTCATCCAAACTCTGGTCTGTGATGGTCATAATTTGCTGTAAAATGTCTCCAATGTCCTGCTTCCTCCCGCCCTCCCCCTCGGTCCCTCCGGCCCCATCCTGCAAGTGCTGGGACAGGCCGGGGTGTCCGGCCATCCCGACCCCAGCATGGGAATGCATCAGCCTGGGCTGTTCGTCCATCTCCGAAGGCAACGGCAGCCCCCGGCTCTTCCTCTTCTGCTCCTCGGCTCGGCTCCTGGGAAGCACCAAGGCTTTTTATCCTTCAAGCTGTCTTCAAATCCTTTTCAGGATAAACAGAGAAGGGGGAAAAAAGAAGACCAAAAGAAAAAAAAAAAAAATCCCTTTGCCTCTTTAGAGGATGGTGGGAGGATGGGGAGTGGGGAGGGGGAGGGGGGCGTGAAGGGGTTGCGGGGTGAGGGTGGGGATAAGGACTGGTGGGGAAGGGTGTTGACTCCAAAAAAGCAAGAAAAATAAACCACCTTCCCACTTGACGAAAAGAAATCAGAGCTGGCTTTTGGTTTTTCAGTCCGTCTCCTTTGCAAGGCAGAAATGGGCTCCCGGCGCTTAAATCTGTGGCTTAATCCTTTTGCAAATATGCATTGGCCGGGAGAAAGGAGAGGAAGGCAGGGGGATTGCAATGCAAACTTTCCCCCCCACCCCCCGCTACCCCCCACCCTCACTCCGGGCCAGAGTGATCTCAAAGGGGGTGGGCTGTTGCAAAAGCCAGATCTCCCCCAGCCGCGGCGGCAAGGCAGAGCACAGGCTCTCTTCTCCTCCGTGTCTCTGCAAACTCCAGCAGCCCCGTCAGCCTCCTGCTTTTGTTTAGCTCAGGCTCAGGACTCCAGAAACATATACAGAAAAACCACAGCCTGAGAGGAGGAGGAGGAGAAGGAGGAGGAGGACGAGGAGGAGAGAGGAGGGGGCAGAGGAAAGGGGGGAGGAGGGAGGCGGGGAGGCCAGGAGGCGGGGGAGGGAAGGAGAGAGGAGGGCACTCGTGGCCCCGCCCCCTCCCCTGATTGGTCATTGGAGAAAAGACAGGCCCCTCCTCCCTCTACTTTCCTCCCTGCGCCTCCTCCTCGGCCTCCTTCGGCTCCTCCTCGCCCGGCGCCCTGTCAATCAGAGTTCAGAGGTGGGCTGGGAAGGAGGCCGAGCTAACACCAAGTCTCCAGTCCTTAAAGGTGCAATGATACCGTTGCGCCGGCTCGGTTAGTACGTTCCCACTTTCCCTTCCTGCCTCACTTGGATTCCGTCCTTGGGAAAAATGTGCCTCTACTTAAATACAAACGTATAAAATTAACACGAAAGAGTATAGACAGTGTCGGTCTCCCCTGCAACCGGGGTTTTTCTTTTCCTGTAACATTGCCGTTTAAAAAGTTGATCCTTTTAATTCGTTAGACCTGAGGGAAACTGCTGTGAGCCAAAGTTTGTCAGCACGAAGTTGTTATGAAACATAATCGAGCTGTTAATATAATTAATAATGATCTCTAATAAATGGCATATGTAAAAATAGATTAAAAAGAACAATCTCAGTAGAGCTAAAAGGAATACTGAACTGTAACATTTTGGTTGCATGGAAACTAAATTATGAACTGTTAAATAATGCTGGAAAAAAAAATTAATAAATAAGTTGACCAAATGAAACTAATTCAACATCTCTCTTTCTTTTCTCCCTGGGGGAAATTAGTTATTTGGCTTAAGTACTTAATAAAGAAATGCATTATCACAGTCTGGTTCTAGTTTTTAATATAGTTTAATAAGCATTATTAACTGGAATAAGGAGCAAACTGACATTTATTGAATGCCTACTATGCACCAAGTAATTTACATGAGTTATTTTATTTAATCCCCAAGACACTTCTGAGAGTTATGGATTATTAGTTCCACTTTAGAGGGAGGGAACTTCAAAATGTTAAATAACTTCTCTGAGTCCCATAGTTATTAAGTGTCAAGGAAGGAGTGTCTCCATCTAACAGAAATGTATAAATAGTGTAAAAATTAGTTATGTGCCCATCTTGTTTGAAAAGGGACTCAAGATGCTTAAAATAATACACATATTGAAACACACTGACCCAAATTAAAAATAAGTAGGAAAGAATGAAAAAAAAATTAAATAAAATCAGGGGAAAATTCTAGTAAGAAGCTCACAGCTAAAGCTCAATTCTGTCACTCTAGGTAGACCATCAGTTTGCCTCCCGTCTTAACATCTGACACGTAGAGAGGAACTCTGACTGAGTCACAGTGGCCACAAGATAAAAGAGCACATGAATTATTTTGGAAAAAGCAAGTATAGTGTTTTGGAATATAAAATATTATACTGTGTAGACAGTCCTCTTCCTGGATGACAGTGCAGCCAAAGGAAATGCACTGAACTGCTACAAACCTAAGTGTACTTCATCTGCAAAATAGATTGTAACCTCACCACTGAGATCCTCAAATAAAACGTCATTCCTTTTATCAGTCCAACCTCCTTCCCAATCAATACTAAAAAAAACAGTTTTGCAAGATAAGGAGCTGAGCACTTCTTAAGATACTTGGTATTCTTTGGCGTGGGGGCATGCAGTAGGGAGTGTTAATTGCAATTAAGATGTCATAGTACTTGAAACAACTGTTCTATCCACATACATACCCTAACTTGTTAAATGGGTTTTTTAATCAACACTAATACTCTTCAAATCACATATCAGTCACAGTGAGCATGAGTTAGCACATCCTTGACAATGTGCTGAAGTTGTTGTGATGAAGTTATCATGTCTTAAAGCATGAAGTAACTCAGAGCCTATAAGAAATCAGTATGAGAAAGTAATTAGAACTACTAAAAATCTAATAAAAGTTTACTAGATAATGTACTGGAACACGTACCACCAGTACCAGAAGATCATTGTCATCTAGGAACATTTTAGTTAGAAAATAAAAAATGTACACAGCAATAATAGTAATGATAATATTTATTAAGTGCTTTACAAGGATTAGGCATATTCAAGGTGCATCATTAATTTAACCACCACAATTGTTTGGCCTGAAAACCTATGCTTTTATAGTGTTGCCAACACTATGGTGTTGCCAAAATACATTTTAATACAAAATAAATGCTATAGAAGGGATGCCACACCTTAGATATCCATAAAGAGTGAGATAAGGGGATAATTCTGTTAGAATGATTAAAAGATTCTGAGGTGGCTTTGAGGGATGAGGGCTTCCCTGAAAGCTCAGTTGGTCAAGAATCCGCCTGCAATGCAGGAGACCAGGGTTCGATGCCTGGGTCAGGAAAATCCCCTGGAGAAGGGATAGGCTGCCCTCTCCAGTATTCTTGGGCTCCCCTGGTGGCTCAGACGGTAAAGAATCTGCCTGCAATGTGGGAGACCTGGGTTCGATCCCTGGGTTGGGAAAATCTCATGGAGAAGGGAAGAGCTGCCCACTCCAGTATTCTGGCCTGGAGAATTCCGTGGTCCATGGGGTTCACAGAGTCAGACATGACTGATGGATCCAGGAGATACAGTGAATGAAGGTGATAGAAGCACAGGGTTTTTCTTCAAGTTCAATGGAAATGGTTAGAAAAGCATACTTGTGAGGACTGAGCAGCAGCTATTGTGTTTTATTTGGTGTATACTAGGGAGTCCCTGATAGGTTTCCCTGCTGGCGCAGTGGGAAAGAATCTGCCTGCAGTGCAGGAGATGCAATTTCAATCCCTGGGTCAGGAAGATTCCTGAAGAAGGGAATGGCAACCCGCTCCAGTGTTCTTGCCTGGAGAATTCCATGGACAGAGAGAGGAACCTGGTCGGGTGCAGTCCAGAGTTGGACAGGACCGAGTGACCAACACAGACAGAGTGAGCCTCTGAGGAAAGTTGTCTTTAAAAGGGGAACAGATATTTATTTTCAGGGATGCAATGGAGAAACAGATATAAAGAACAGGCCTGTGGACATGGGGGGAGGGGAAGGAAAGATGTATGTAGAGAGTAACATAGAAAATTACAACACCATATGCAAAATAGAGAGCCAGTGGGCATTCGATGTGTGACTCAGGGACCTCAAGCAGGCTCTGTGACAGGCTGGAGGGTGGGGTGGGGAAGGAGAGGGGACGGAGGTCTGGGTTGGGGGGACGTGGGTGTACCTTTGGCCGACTCTCGTTGATGTATGGCAGAAAACCGCACTATTCTGTAAAGCAATTATCCTTCAGTTAAAAAATTAAAAAAAAAGGGGGGGAACTGAAAAGTATGTCTTAAGGAAAATTATCTAACTCCCCAACACAAAATCTGAGACAATGAATTAAGGAAGGGGAATTAAGAAAGTGGCAGTGGAAGTGGGAAGGAAAGGACAATTATGAGGAACATTTTCAAGAAAGAGCCAACAGAACTCGATAATTGATTTTATGTGGTTTTGTGATTTTATTTTAAAGGAAATGTTTTCAAGCCTGGGTGAGAAGAACGCAGTGGCACTAACAGGATAATAATAATAATATCTATAGATAGAAATTGTTAAATAGAGATTGCGCTTCAGGTACTGTGTGTACATTACCACTTAATTTTAACAATTTGACACTTAATTTTAAGAAGATCCTTGTAAGGTTATAATCTCCTTTTTGCAGGTGAAGAAACCAAGTTTCCTAGAACTTAAATTACTGGACAAAGTATGTATTTAAAAGTTCTCTTATTTTTAATACTTCACAGAGGACAGGTGATACTACTAAAGGTGAAACAGAACAAAAATTAGAATCTTCTATTTGCAGTTTTTAAAAAACTTCTTAAAGTAGATTCTGAGGAAAAATTTGCACGTGAAATTTCTATACCCTATGGGTTGTGGTGAGGGATGGATAATGCTTTTTTGTACCTTCCATGCCTCAGCAGTGCTTTAATTCTAATAGATATTTATTAAATACGTGTTGAAAGAATGAGTGATGAATAATCATGCTGTATTTCTTCAGAATAATAAGTCCACTGAATCATGCTTTAAGGACATTACATGAGTCATTACCAAAATTTGGCTAACTAGCAAAGTAGTTCTCAGTCTGTGCTTATTCTAATGTCTACGAAGTCATCTTATCATGTTTACCTCTCCTACATCAGGATTTCGTTTATTCTAAGGATTTTTTTGTTTATTCTAAGGATCTTGTTTATCCTAAGAATTCTAAGGATTCTAAGGATTCTAAACTTCTTTAGAAGTCCATTGGCCCAAAGTCTCACCTC